CTCCTCTCAGGCTCGTCTCAGCCATTCATCATCCTTGATGTCCCTCAGTGACCTAAACCAGCTGCATCCATTGCACTCCCACCATCAGTGTAGGCTGAGGATGCGCTGTCAGGGGAGCCTTGATGGACAGCACTGCACGCGTTGGTGTGAGATCCTCCAGGATCAGTGGGAAGATGTTTTTTTCCTTGTGCTCTCTGGTCTGTTGGAATTTCCCTCAGGATCAGTGGGCTAAGGCATCCTCTGGGAAGCCTGGTATTGGACTCAGATGGCAGTGATGGGTTGAGGGCAGAGTATGCAGTCAGCCCTGGCACAGCACTGGATGCAGACCCTGCAATAGGTGTATGGGCAGGGTACCACACGGCCATGTCAGCCAGTGGGCAGAGACAAATGGGAGATGTCTGCTCATCAGGGGTCTCCACTGGCTGTGTCTGCACCTCCTGGCAAATGTCCTCAGCTGTCAAAACATGGAGGTGTTCAAATGACAGCCATTTCCTTGTCAGTTTTCACATTTTCTCCTGTCTTACTTTTCTAGTGGGCTGGGGGTGTACTTCTTGGATTTCCCTTTTCTGGCCAATGTACTTTTGGAAGCCATTCTCCATGTTCCTTGCCAAAGCCATTTCCAAGTGTATTTTGAAGAATGTTGTTGGCCCAGGGTCTTACCTGCAAAGCTGCTTTCCAGGTAGGATCGCTACATTCCCTGGTACCTCTAGCTATTCCTCTCCATGAATTGGACTATCACTTCCTCTTGTTAAAATTCATGGGATTCTCATCAGACCATTTCTCTAGCCTACATGGCTACACAGCCTTCTGCTGCATCAGCTGTTCTTCCCAGTTTGGGATCATCAGTGGACGTGCTAGAGAACACCCTGCTCCATCATCTAAATCACTCTTGAGAATGTTCAATAGGATTGAACCCACAATTGGTCCTTGTGATGCACCTGCAGAATGGTTGTGATTCTCCCATATGCAGGCAGACCAGCAGACTTGCAGGATTATGAGGGGACTGCAGGCATCTCAGGTTCATATTGTCTACACATTTGCTGAAAATGTGCCAAGTCATCACCCAATTGCAGACGACTCTGCACAGTTATGGACACGCCACAGGTTTAGGGGCTTGCCAATGGCCCTGCCAGACATAATACAGCCAGTGCTGCCATCTGAAAATGTTCAGACGAACATTTTCACAGCTTCACATCCCACCCTCATCTCCTCAGGTCCCATTCCCATGGCCTGGTGTTGTGAATTATTACATATTAACATCATGAGATTTCAATATTTCTATCTCTAATGTACTTTAAGCTGCTATCACCACTAAAGCTCTGAGTATTCTTAGAATCATAGAATGGTTTGGGTTGGAAGGAGCAATAAAGCCCATTCAGTTCCAATTCCCTGCCTTGGACAGGGTTGCAAATTACTAGATCAGGCTGTCCATGACTCCTTTCAAACTCACCTTGAACGTGTCTAGGGACCGTGGCATCATCTGTCTATCCTTTCTGCCTCCTAAGGATTTATTAATCACAAGCCTCTTTCTGTGACCAAGTTTAAGTTGTACATTTAAGAGACTGGGCTATGGAAAAAAGGGAAAATGTGCTAATGAATAAAAATTCATACAATAATTGCTGTATAATCTAGGTGAGTTTCTCATTTCAGTCTCCATCCTCTCTCCTGCAGTGTTTCATACAGTTTGCCTGAGGAGGCATGAGAATTACTACACAGGAAAAATTTCCTAACAATTGAAGGGGAATGAGCGTTTGATGAGTGTTACACTCCTTGATTATCAATAGAGGCAGAGTTGGAAAGAAAGGACATACAGTTGTGGGAGGGCCCAACCAGAGAGGGCGTTGTACTGCTGGAAAAAATTATAAAAGATTTAAGCAGCACATGCTGCTTAAACAGCTGATCAACACTTGCCACCACTACAGCAAACAGTATTTTTATTGATATTTATATTAATACCTCGAGCTATACAGATGTAAAATATACGTATAATCTTTTCTCTATTAATCTCTTCTCTACTATTAACCTGTGGGTATTCACAAACATAGCCAAAAATAAGTTTCCAGTGTTGTTCATATAAATCTTAATAATATTCAATGTCATTTTGTTCTATAGGCAGTGTACCACCTAATGAGATAACTCCTTTTGAATTTTATCTAGTTTCAGTGAGCATTATTCTGTTCTCATAGAAGAGCTTAGTCTACGTTTTTTGTAACTTTGCTTTGTCAGGTTTTTCCTGTCCCCTGCTAAACCAACCAGTTTTAATCCTTGCAGTCTCTCTGCATAATATAACCTCGTTCTGCCTGAGCTCTTCTCTGCCTACCTCTAAATCATACCTTAAAAAGCCATCATCACAACACCAAATATAGTATATTAGGGTACATCATTTTCCACAATACATTATTTTTATTTTATATGCTGTTCCTTCTCTCGCAGCACCCAATCTACATTTTTGAAGACCATTACCTATTGAAAAAAACTATTGATTTAGCTAGTATTTTCCTGATTGAAGCCCTCACATTGTGCATAAAATGTGGAAAAGGCCAATAGATCATTCATGAGATACAAACATAACTTGATCTAGTACATTGGTGTGAATATGAGGAAGCACTGAAACTGCTGAAACTGCTAAAACTGAGAGTTGCTTTAGGTAATGAATGCATATGTAAAGCTCAGATTTTGTCAACTTAATGAATATACCAGTATGATCACATAGGACTGAAAGAACAGAATTTCAGCAGAATGCCTTTCTGTCACTGAAAGGTTGAAATGGTACCTGATATGTTTTTGCTACTTAGTCTGAAAAAATACTGTAGTGGCAAAGGTTAGGAATGCATGAGAAGGTGATTTGGATTATACAATAAGAGCAACAGAAGAGTTTTTCTGTGAGGGAAGGTGTTTTAATAGCAAAGTCAGCACCTGTTCTGAGCCAGAAGGATTTTCAAATGAGCCAGAATTTCCCTTCCTTCTGTCAATCTGATGCTTCAGCCTCAAGAACTGAGTGTTTTCATTCTGTGTATCCACAGCAGTAGAAGATAATGTACCCATAAAAGAATTCTAGTCTCTGCCCTTCTATGTCCTCAGTAATGTTTTGCTATTTTGAAACGTATGGTAAACTATGGGAAAAAAATGAATTTGTACCTTTGGAGAAAACTTTACCAAGTTAGAGTATTGGAGTCCAATGTGGACCACATCATACATATATGGTAGTTGTGGGAAGTATTCAGGTATTATAAAAAATAATTGTAAGAACATATTGGCCGTGCCTTGAATTTCATCATGTCTTTCAGAGGTGCTGCTTTCAAAATAAAGAACCTTTTGTTTGTTTGTTTGTTTGTTTGTTTGTTTAATCTAAGTGCCATTAATGTTGGTAATTCATTCATGTGCAGCTTATGTCTATGTGTGATTCTGCATTTTCAGGCTAAATTTTTCTAAACACCATAGAGCTGAATCAGGGTTTATATCTTTGACTATCTCTAAGTTTCTTTATCTGTCCGAGGCAGCAGGTTTCTTATCTGACAGCCTTATAATTATGGAAGCATCTGCATACTAATGATTCAGTGCTTGCATAAACAACTGGCCTTGGAGAAATCTAATGAACTAACTTGCAGGATTTGATTTTGCCTAATTAAATGTAAATAATGTTTAATGTTGTATGTGACAGGATTTCTCTGGAAACTTACAGAGTTTATGTAACCAAAGTGCTATTATGAATGCAGAGTGAGCACTGTATTGAACATTATGAAATTGCATGTCATATTTTGTTTTCAGCTGTTATATATCTATCTCTTTATTAGAAAATAGAGAATATTTAATGTCTGGTGTGGCCAATGATAGTGTGTATCAGGAGATGCTTGCACTGTACATAAGTATGTGTCAACCTTTAAAATGTTCTTTCCTTTCTGGCAAACTATGAAAATAGAGTTTGAATCAGAATCATTTGAGTCAGCCAGAAAAAAAAAAAGAAAAACTTCAGTGTTTACTTTTTCTTCCTTTTCTACAATATTTTGTGACAGCAATTTGAGATTCTGAATCTTTATTTGATCATTCAGTATAAACCAGGTAGAGTTGGATCATCATTTGCTAGGTTGGTTCTAGTGTTGGGTACAGAGGAATATGCACATCTTAAACTTTTTATTTCTATAAATCCTTTTTAAAGGCAGAAAGCGTTAAGGTTTTTGTCTAGGATTAGAGTGTGGAAAAGCCTAGTCTTCATTTGGCTACCTGAATGAACTACCAATCATTGAATAATGAACTACCAATCATTACCTAGGAAAGACACCTTGGATAAGATGATGGGAAAACAGATCTAATGGACATTTTTCCTTCAGAAAAGAACTGTCAAATGCAAAACCATGCAACTAATTCATAGGAAGATACTATGTAGTATAGCAGGCATTCAGAAAACCAAAGAAGAGAAAGGTAACATGGATATCATCACATGATTTGATGGGACCTGAACACATTTTTCCCGGGATTTTGTTCTTCTGTCTGTATATCTATATCTGTATATAGATATATCTGTAGATAGGATATATATAGAATCTAGATAGATTCTATAGATTCTTTTTAAAATAGGTTGAATCTATAGATTCTTTTTAATCATGAGAAGGAATTTTGAATGCACTGCTCTACAGCTGTAAAGTTATCAGTATCTCCCTTACAAGGTCCCATGACAGTATATGATGGCAGAGAATTAAACAAATGCTCTACTACTCCATGGACTATCTGTAAGGGTTAAAATCATGCAAACAAGTTTTTTTCTCGTATAAAACATAAACAAGTTTTGAGATTTGATTAAGGAAAGTCTATGAACATTGCTGTTAAAAGAAAATAACTTTGCTAACCATGATGTTTCTCAGTAAGGCTAGATTTTGACCCTGAGTTCTGCCTTATTTCGATGTGGCCCAAGCTCATATTTTCAAGTGTTTGGAATTCATTTTCAATGAGTTTACAATTGAATGTACTGGATTTAAACAGACTTTATTACAGTGTTATGCACATATGAAATAAAAACCAGATTCAATACATCTTCATTTGGTTGATGCATGATCTCAACTGGATTTTTTCAATCACGTTTCTTGAGGTCAGGGATGGTACTGCTGGCATACTTGGCATATTTTGTATCTTCTGGCTGTTCTGGCCATCTGTGTTCCTGAAGACAAATGCAGGTCATACAGTGGCAATCAGTAAAAAAAATCACATGATATTATATATACACATGGTACTAAATTTGTCTTTCATAATGGAAACCTAGTATCTTACATGCAGTATATTCACTTCTTACCTTTTGTTATCTTCTATATCTTTTATTATCATTATTTTATTGGATATTTCTATCACAATAAGTTATTTGACTCATAGTCGTTTTGTTATTTATTCCATAGGATTCAACATTTTTTAACTCTATTTTTATATCCTTTGCTACACAAACTTTCAAAATCAAATAAAGGACTGAGAGCTATTCTAACCTAGTTTGTGTGATTGGGCTCTATTTATTTTCGTGTTTCCTTTCTCACTCCCACTTGAGTGCACTGAGTTTCCATTAACTTTTCATTCTAAGTGCAAGTACTGATGAGTAGATGAGTAAGATTGAGCTTCAGATCCAATGATGTGGAAAGCTGAATTAGATCTTCAGTAGCATCCTCAAACATGTACAGCCACTTGCAGTGAGACACATTTGCTCTAGCTGTGGGCACAAAGCAGGCAAAGCCATAGGGAGCTGAGTTTCTTCCCCCCAGTTTTTTTTTTTGGTTGGGGGTATTTTGGGTCTTGGTGTTGTTTTTTGTTTTTTGATTTTTCTTTCATTCAATTTTATTTTTATTTTCCTTTTTTTTCCATGTCTTTCTTTTTTTCCTTACTTCTTTTTTTTTAACAAAGCAAACATTCGGGCTTTTGCCAGTTTGTGATTATCTGCCCAGTACTGCTGAGAATTCATTTCAGTAGAAATATGCTTTGTTTGCATTCATATTGTGTGTATAACTATCACTCTGCAATAATAATCCAAGGACTTGTAAGTGACACTTGAGATAGGGCAAACACTGCAGGGAGAGGAGCCAGTTAGAACCTGATAATGTTCTGAGAATTAATAAGTAGGCCTAGATATTTTTCAGTTTTCAGGGGTTATTTGCTGTATTGCATTCCAAGAATGTATCTAAATATATATGACTACAAAAGAAGTATTTGAAAAAAAAGTTTTGCCATGTTTCTGGCGTGTCTTACGACATCCTTTCTTTTTCTTACCAACTATGTTCAGAGCTTCTTTATCTTAATCTAGCCTTCCATATTTCAGTTCTAGAGTCACAAGAACATGCTCCAATTTTAAATTCGGTGAACATAAATAAAACTCACCGCACAACAAGTATAAATGAATTCAGTTTGGTGGAATTCCCTAAATACTCAGTATGGGACTTCTGATACGAAATAGCTATTTCATGTGGATCCACATTCAGATATATAGTGGTATAATGCTCAGACATTGTAAGCCATTTTCAATCAGCTTAGAGCTTCTTCAGCACCCTTGAAGAGTAATGAAACTGAACATGCATGCAAGGCACCTTACTTTGCCCTACAGCAACAGTAGTCATTGGTCTGCTTCTTACCCTTTGTTCTTCATTTAGCTAGATTGCTGCAACACTGGTGAAGATGCTGTTAATAAGACTCCTAGAAAAAGTAGCTGGTTCAATGTAAGGCACTAATCCTGGCACCTTTGATGAGAAAATCTGCATCACAAGAGACTGTGGCAGAAATTCAGGTGAGAATCAGGAGCTGAAGTTGGCCTATAATAGTATTTAGGCTTTGGTTTAAGCTATCAGTATGTGATTGAATGTAGAAATTTGGAGAAGTTGTTTGGAAAATATATAAATATATATATATTCTTTTGGGGGTAGGGAGTACACGTATCTTTTGGATTCTTTATTTTCTCCTTTGGATAAACTCTTTGTAGCCCATATAATGTTATGAACTGAACTTCAAAGTCGCTGCAGCCTATGCAATCCCTGAGTTTTATCTTTTTTGTCAGTGAAGTTAGTCCAGATTCATCTACACTGGAGAAATCAGAGACTAGCCAATCATGCTTAAGCTAATTGATAAAAATAATTTTGCTTCAGTTTTTTACTGACTGACTGAGTGGTTAACACATTTTCATTATGTTGATATCATCTAGTTTCACTTCGGAATGCATATCTATTCAGAGTGGAAATGGTTAAATATGAAGAAGCCAGGTTATTACACATTTCAATTCCAGAGTCAAATATAAAAATTTCTATTATAGGGACAATTAATTACATCTCAAAATGGCAAATGTGCATCCTTGTCAGGTAGAGTGTACTCTGATGGCCTTTCCTCAAACACTGAATGTGGAGATTTGATCTCTTCTAATGGTGCTGAGAAAAGGGTAATTACGCTATGGTCAAAGCTAATTTGCTTTCTGCCAGATGAACTGTTGTATTTTATTGTACGCTGACATTTTAAAGTAATTACGGCACTGTTGACCTTAGACAATTCCAGTTGTATCGCTGTCTACAGCTGCAGTGTTCTACCTTTGGCTGGCAGACAGCGGCTGTAACGAGGTAATGACACGGACAAAGAGCACCATATGGGGCTCCTTTGAGATACACAAAGCCCAGTGAAAGGAAACAAGAAAATTTTAACATCATCATTACAGTCACACATTTTTACAGCCATAAAGGATCCCATCCCCCTCATACCCAAAATGCCCCAAATTGTTTACTTGTTTATGTACTGTATATCTCTGTGTTTTTCTTCTGTAAATGACAGTATGCATTAAGAAGAAAGAGGTCAGGTAGAAATGAATGTGACAGACTGGTCTTCCTCTGACATGAGTTCAAAGGCTAAAGACTATTGATTGAGATAAAAGCCTAGGTTCTTATCTAATGTTAAAGACACTCCTTGTTGTCTGAAAGCTGTGCACATAATTAGACTGAAAGAAGAGCACTTCATCCAGAAAATCACTATAAACTGAGCTTCATTAAACGTAGATATTACTTAATTTAAAGGAAGAAGTTATTTTTCACTGATATATTTTAATGGGGGTATGTCTGGTTGTCTTTTCTACACGAAGAGATATAAACATGTGCAGAGTTCTTCCTGGTTAATGTATCCCTGCTAGGAGAGAAAAATAGATTGCTATCACTCACAGAATAATTCTTTATTCTCTTGGAGGAAAAAAATGCAGGATATCAAACGCAAGAATTTCTGATAGTGAAGAGCTGGTAGAAAATGTAACTTTACTGTTACATTAAAATTTTCCCTCCTGTTTTGTGGTATGGGTAATAGAAATGTTCACTTCTTCAAGGCAGGCAACAGAATTTTTACCTGTGTCATGTTCTACAAATTACGTGATAAATGAAAAGAGATAGTGGAAATGATTCTGTGATTGTAAATCGGTTAATCTCCATTGGAGTTAGTTTTGCACAATGAGGTTTTGTTAGAAATAATAAGAAAAGGGAGATTACGGTTGGCATGTGTCAGAAAAATTACATCTGAAGAAACAGGTTAGGCCAGCATTCAGTGTTGCTCTTGGCTCCGAAATGATAATATCACTTCTTAAAAATCTTGTTTTCAATTTTGCACAGCTCATCCCATTGTTGAATAGTAGATGATGGAATAGCCCATGTATCCAAAAAGCCTGTGTTTTGAGAATTCCATCTTTGTAGAGAAGTTGATGAAATGTGAATGGTGTTTCAAAAGTTAAACTTTGATCAAACATAGAAAGGGCTGTTCTGTAGCTGGCTGCTTGCTGAAAAGTTCATTTTCTGGTCCAGTAGTTATATGTAAGAACAATACAGTTTTGAAATCAGTGTTCAGCCTTCTGTTTTAAGTCCAGAGTTCAGAATATGCCTATTTTATCTATGTATATATATGTATATTTGTGTTACATATAAATTTTGGAGTACTCTACTTTGATGTTGTTACTTATTCCTTTTGCAGTATTTCTGTTATCCTGACCTAAAATAGAAGCCCTGGTGGCAAATGAAACAAGAGCCATCACTCTGTACATAAAAGAATTATGTAATCAAATACCAGGAAAAACACCATCCCTGCATTTGAAAGACAGATTGACAAGGGGTATAGCTTATGCCAGCTATTTTATGACAGAGATTTTTACAGGGATATCTTGCAGAAAAGCATGAAGAAAAGCCAAAAAAAAAAAAAAAAAAAAAAAAGAAAAGAAAAGAAAAGATTCAAAGTAATCTGAAATTAAAACATATACACATTCTATCAGTAACATTATAGCATAATGCTGTAAAGTTTTAAGAGGGAGGTAGAACAGGGCAGTATATATTAATGAAAGACAAACACTTGTCCTTACCATATTACCAAGGTGATACAAAGATAAATAAATATTTTTTCCAATAGTTCATGTTCACAGGGCTAGCCAGAGTAGAGCTCCAACAGTGTGCAATAGCAGAGCAAATCTTTCTCTTCATCCAAGACATAGAGCAAAAGTAAAGCACAGAAGAATTCTTGCTCCATTGGTCTTAAGGTAAAGAAGTTAATTCTCAGACAGCTACCCATCAGGATCAGTGACAAAATGATCTACATGGCAAAAGAGCTACTTATCCCAAGATGTATAAATTTATATTTTCCCAGGGAATTAGGTTAGATAGCACCAAGGGAACTGTGTTCCGTCTACACTCCTTTGATATTTGGTTTTAATCTATATGGTGGCTGTTAAAAGACAGATGGAATTTGGGGCTCAAACATCTCTGCTGCAAACTGAGTTTAGACAGTGTAATTGTCTTTTTATCCCAAACTCTGCACATGTGCTATATCCTATACATCCCATGTGTGCTCTGCATGCTGCAACAGCTAAAGCTCAAAATGGACCCTGCTTCTTGCACAGACAGCAGCTTTAGTAGATTGAGCCAGAACAGGTTTATCTTCCTAGCCAAGCTAAGCTTGTCTCAGCTGGAAATTGCTCTTTACATCCTGGATGGCTCCCCTGTAAAGAATTACCAATTGCACCTTATTATTCTTATTTTATGCGGATTCCATATGTGACATGCATGGATTGCTATTCATGCAGTTTTATTGGGAAATGACTTGGAATACGGTATGAGTCATTTGTGATCTTCTAAATTAGAAATGGGAATGCATTTTTTTGAATTATTATCCCCATATTATTTTCTA